CGGGCCAATATATAGGACCCGGACCTGGCCCGATTTTTTAACGGGCCGGACCCGCCCTGGCCCGTTTTGTAAACGGGGCAGGCCAATCTTGCCCCAAACACTCTGGGTCGGGCCAGGTCAGGCCGGGTCCAGGTCATTTTGCCATCCCTAGGGACAACCGTACCGATAGCCATCAAGCTCACATCTATAGGCTATATGCTCACATGCATACATAGATCATACCGATTTAACACATATAAATTACATATGCATAGAATAACTAACCCACCTGGATATTCTGAACAGAAACTGAGAGTCGTCGCTTATGTGGAAACTCGAGCGCTCGACTCCTCAGAATCTACATAAAAATAAGTGATACTCGAATAAACAACTAACTCTCAACTCGGTAACTAATTTATAATTTATCAATTTGAAGGATTTCCTAGCTTAAGGTTCACGACTTATAAAATCTTTTCTTCTATGATTTTATTTTATTTTTATTCTTTTTTGTTTAATGTTGAAACTCTCGACTGAGACTTATAAAAAAAAGATATCGGGATAATTCACATATATATATATATTTTATAAACTTCAACAACAATTCATAAGCCATAATAGCTGAGCATAACATTGCATAAATAAAATGAAATCAACATGAATAACTCATCACAACCTCAGCAATGAACCGGGTATACTCACAACACAAAACTATCACAACAAGGCGTCCTTCAATATTTATCAACATTTAAGCAATACATATATAAGGTCTTAGAAATTTTAAAATTAAAACCTCTGAATGCAAAGAATAGTAACAGCCATATAATCTCAACCAACATGATTTACACCTTAAGGTAATGCATGGATTGGCCACCACCACAACACACATACGAGCTCAAGCCTTTTCATAATTCTAATCTTAAAAACCACGCACATACTCTTATCAAGGAAAATAGAGGCTAAAATAAATAGTCATTCATTAATAGCATACTACTAAGAATATAGATTCCACAAGAAATATTTCATAAGGCCACAACATATCACTTAGTAAAAATCCAACTTCTTTCTTTCTCTTTTCTTCCACATTTAACCATACTCGAAGTCACATCATAATTGATTTTTAAAGGCTATATTATTAGCATAAATAGGGCTGCTAAAACTCAGTAAACGCAGCAACAAAGTCCTCAAAATTTCGAAAATAGACGAGGCCCGAAACTTCGGCAATTTATCCCCATTTTCAAACGACTCTTAGGTATTGATCCCAACTATATAATAACATAAATTCACATACTTTCAGCATATAAATGCTCAGAAAATCAGTAAAATCGCTGCATATCAACATCATCTCAACTCATTTATTCGAAACCCGACAAGGCTCCGAACAAGGCAACAATTGATCCCGTTTATCAAAATAACTTCAAATCATTTATCCCGACCTTTATAAACTTTAAAAATATAAATTTTTAAAGGCTAATCAATCACCGAAACGAGAGTTCAACATCATCAACGAATACTCAAATGTCATAGCTTCTTCTCAATTTAATAAATCTCATGATCATGAACCTTAAGACCTCTTTAATCGTTCAAATTAAAATCTAAAAAATACGAGGAAGATAAGCCATATACCTCTTTCGGGAACTAACGAGAAACGATCGGAGAGAACGGGCTCGACTACTCGCTGACTATCTCCCGGCTCGCACTCCGCTATCAATTCTCACGCACGGCCACTGCTGGGGGTCACGGCTATCTCAAAGACGGCCACTTGCTGCTACTTGAGAGTCGTCGGTTGCCCGCTGCCAGACTACGGGGCTGCTGCTGCTCGAAAAAGAAGCGGATGGGGAGTGCTGCGGCTGTTCAGGCCTGAACGAAGGCCGACGGGGCTTCGGGTGTGACAGAACATGCTCGTCGAGACGAAGACGGAAAGGGGCTGTTGTAAGTCGGACGGCCGGCGAGAAGTGTTGTGCATTGTCTCCGGCTTCAGCGAAGGAAACTCCTCGGATCAACCGGCAGGTGACCGGATTGGTCTGCTACTGCTAGCGACGGCGGAGCTCGCCGGAAATATACCGCCGCCGCTCGTCGTGAACTGAGGCTGGGTCTGCTCACTCGCCGATGTGGGGAATCGCGATATCGGAGGAGACTGACGGGGTGGTGATGAGGCGACAAGCGAATAGACACGGCTACGATTTCAAGCGAGGAGCTACTGAAGTGGGTCGCCGGCTGAGGGTTGCTGCGATACGACGATGGTGTTAATCGATTCTCCTCTCTCTCTCTGATCGACGAGCCCAACAAGAGAAAGAAAGAAGGATTCGGATCGAACGATGGAGATGATGAGGAGATCGGAGAAAGGTATTAGTGGCGATCGACGGGCTGAGATCGAGTGAATTCTGGTTCGGATCTATCTGAGATTTGGGCGAAATTTTAAAACGAAGAAGAAAGGGGATCATACATCTGCTAGGTCGATTCACGAGAGAGAGAGATATTGGGCGTAAATCTTGTTCTAAATGGGCCGGATAATAGGAAAATTTGGGCTAAAACTCTCTCTTGCTAAAGTGGGCTGACAACTTCTAGAAAATGTGCCGAACATATGAATTAGAAGGCCAATAAGAAATTGAACCCGATCAGTCGGCTAGTGACAGTTCGAAATAAAATTAATCTGGTTAAAATTGATCTTGATGAATTCTAAGGAGTCGAGAAAAATAAGATCGACGAAGCTGAATACGAAGTCAAAACGAACGGCAGCCAATAAACTGAAATTCTAATAATTTCGGTTTCTCTCTTAATAATTAAATTGACTAAAATCGACTGGCTAACGAATATCTGATAATCCGATAGTTCGAATAATTTAAATAGACACTAACGTCTAAATAAATCCGAAGGACTTGTCGAGCTCAGAAAATAAAATGCATAATAAAATAAATAATCCAAAGAAAATTCATAATTCAAACGGGGCATTACAACCACGAGGGTACCATTCAGGATAGCCTAGCACCTCAAAATAGCTGGCTGCGAGATGTGTGGTCTTCCCACAGTTATAACACAGTCGTTGTCGGCCTCGTCCACCGCCCGCAGCTCCGCCAGACTGATCAGTCGTAGAGTCCGTCACCTGCGGCACAGTACCAGCCGCTGACAGCGCATGAGGAGGCCCGCCAGTGCGCCCACCGCCTGTAGCACTGTCATGCCCGCGGGAGATCAAGGTCGGGCCCGTTCGAAGTGCAAAACCGGCAGCAACATCAAGATTGTCGTCGGCGATAGAGATGGTGCACATTCTCTCCTCCTGGATGCAAGTGAAATAAACCCGATTCAAAGTCGGGAGGGGATCTTGGGCCAACAGATTAGAACGAGTGGCACCATAGAGGGTGGGATCCAAACCTTTGAGAAATTGGTGAACTTTCTCACTTTCTTGTTTACGATTCCAGTCAACTTGCAAGTTGCACACACAGAGACCACAACAACACATGGGGGGTTTTTCATAATCAGCTAATTCCTCCCAAAGTTTGGTAGTCTTACCGTAGTAGGCTTCAATACTCATGCTCTTCTGCTTGTAAGCCGCGAGATCCGACTTGAGTTGTTGAATTCGGGGACCATTTTTCATCGTAAATATCACCTTCAAGGACCACCATAGATCCTCTACAAATTCCGGTTCCACCACAGAAGATCCAAAATCTTAGAGATTGAGAGATCAAGATCAAAACACTCTCTAGCTTTCCGGATCGAGAATTCCTAGCTTCTTCACCGGAATGGATTCATTGGTGTTAGATCATGCATCAGAAAATTGAATTGTGTGGATACCATAGTCGAGGACATAGACGAATAACTGTAAATTCTCGTTAATTATTCACGCGATCTAGGATCATATCGAATAGTTATAGCCGGATCTTCGTTGTTGGTAAGAAAAATTTTAAAATTCCGCTGCGCGTAAGCTAGGTTCGTAAGTATAAAATCCAATAGTGGTATCAGAGCACTGGGTCGGTGTTCATATCTATTTGATTTAAAATTGGATTTACATGGATCAAAATATGTTAAATTGTGCTGAATTGTGGGTTGCAAAATTGTGTTGTTCGAACATATTTCCAAAATCGGGGATGTAGAATCTGTGTTTCGTTGCAAAACGAACCAATAATGTAATCTGGGATTCATTTTGGATTTTGGGTCTGTACGTTCAGATTTTAGTTGGATCAAGAATCTGTTAATTATATTTTAATTATTTTAATGATAATTAAAGTACAATTAAGAAAATGAGTTTGGAATCGTTTTTCTGTCATGTTCGAACTGCTCTGAAAATTCAGGGATTTGCTTGAACTGCCGACGATAGCGCCAGCGAAGCTGGCCACCTGAAAACACGCGTCCAAGGGCCGCTGTCGTTGGGCGACTAAAAAAAAATAAAAATTGGGATTTGGAATCCCAAGAACTATCGGCCATCACCCTCCCGCCAATGTTGCGCTCGGCGTCTCTGTGGTTGGACGCCTGAAATCCGAGCTTGGAGCTCGCAGGTCCTCCATTAAGGGCGGACGAACATTAAAAAAAAATTTGGAATTTCGGCGAGAAGCCGCCAGCCTGGGGCGGCGATGGCTTCTTCGCGTGTGCTCGACCAAAGTTTTTCTCCTGTCCTTTTTTTTGGTCGGACGTTCTTCTCTCTTTTCTTTCTTTTTTTTTCCTCTCCTGCGTGCGTGCGTGTGAAAAAATAAATCTCATGGAGATGGAGCTTTATTTATAGTGCTAGGTTTAAGAGTCTTAGAAAAATAAGGGATTCCTAATTTTTCTAAGAAAAATCTGCTCCCTCTCCCTCTCGTTCGATAATTGCTGCAACATCATCATCCCTTCTCATCATCGTCGTTACCATCACCCTCGCTTTTCGCCATCACCTTCTTCCTCGCGAGAACCATCATCCCGCTACCATCATCTCATAATCAGATCGCCACCCTCGTTGACCCTCATCGTCATCATCATCAACCTCGCTGTGGAAGCTCCTCCTCTCGCCGAAACAGAACCAGCGAGAGCCCCCACGCTGCGACGCCGTGAGCCGCTACCCTGCTCCGCCGTGAAACCACCTCCCGCAACCAGTCGCGGCCCTCGAGCGACAGTCTCCATCCGCGAGCGTCCTCCACGCGCCACCGCGGCCAGTCATCTTTCCGGCGACCTCGACCCCAGCGAGTTCCCCTCCGTGCAGCAACTGGCCCCGATGGCTACTCCTCCGCCATCGTCGACAAGCCTTCTCCATCGTCGAAACCTTGCTGCCGCGAGCCACTACCAGCAACTTCCGTCGAGCCATTGACGTCGCCGTCCGCGAGCTCCATCGCAGCCAGCCCCGTGGTCGCGTTCTTACTGTTCGCGTGACTTAGTTGCTGTCCGAGGTCCGAGCCCGTCAACTCTCGTCTTTCGTTCTGTTTTCGATCGATTCCCGAGAACGGTACAAGGCTCGATCCGTCTCGTTTAATTTTACGTCCCGTTTATGATATATGTTACTTGGTTATTGAATGTGATAATGCCTATGTTATTTGGTGTTCATGAGAATTTTGATATATATTTTGCAAATTGGATATCAAAGTGATTGCCGTCACTTTGATTTATTGTCAAACTGAATGTAATGTGGTATATTTCGTGGAAATCCTAGAGTTATAGGTACTTGGAGTTGTCCTTGATTTATTGGTTTTGGTTTGAGGTCGTTTCGAGTTATATATAGGGAGTTATGATTTTTCTAAACCGAGCATACTGCTGAACCGTAATAAATTCACCATAAATCGAGTTGTTGCCCGTTTGGGCTAAACTTTTGATAGGTTGTGCCTCTGAGTATGTTGAATGTATGTGTCAAGCTCCTGATTTTGTCTTTGAGTTTTTGGTGTTCAAATGTTTAAAACGGTTTCTGGGCAGAAACTTGTAAGATTCATTAAAAATCGTACACTTGGAGTTTTGAGCTGAAATTTGGAGGAACATGTTATTTTGTGATGTTTTATGTTGTGTAATAATTTCAGACTTAAATCCGAAGTGTAGCTATGCGAACCATTAAATTCTGATTTTGGCGTTGTTTTTTCTTAAATTATTTAAAAATGCTCCCGGATGAATTTATGGCTGAAACTTGGTGAGTTTATGTGCTTTTGTTTGCTTTATAATGTGGTAAAGTTTCAGGTTGATTGGCTGAGCCTAACTCCTAATTCTGAATTTAGTTCATTTTGGGGTCTTAATGCTCGGTTATCTGTTGTTTAGGTTAGGATTGATTTTTATTAATGTTGGCATGATTTATGTGTCTTACTTGAGGTATTTGAGTTGTGTCCAGGACTGGTAGTCACTTCATAGTACCTAACTCGGTCAAGGAAATCCACGAGTCACTTAGTCGATATGATTTCGGCTAAGAATATGTGCCTTGTGTGTTGTTTTGTATTGGATAGTCAGTGATAGGCTATTATAAATTTCTGTAGGTCCTTCGAGCTGAACTTGTGCCATAATCCCTTCAACTCTGTGTTTGGCTATACCTCTTGCTATATCCAGATCGGTTTTATTTGAAATTGCTATGCCTTAATTAATTTTTATTGTTGTGGTATGATCGATGTATGCATGTGAACCATGTAGCCTTCGATGTGAGCTATATTGGCCGTCGAACGGTTATCCCCGTAGCTATAGAACGTACCTTCGGGTAGTCTCCTTTATTATTGTTGGCAGTCAGGGCGTGAGCTTTGGCTGGTGATCCTCGTATGTAAGGCCAAGGCGTAAGTTTTCGCATTCGGGGTGGATTTACTCCTGCTGGCCGGACACTCGATGTAAGGCCTTAGATAAGGCGTTCGGTATATTCACTATCTTGAAAAGAATCTGTCTTCTGGGAAGATTGAGGTACATCAGGACTAAAAGAAATATGATTTTCTATGGCTTCCGAATCTTCTTATAATTTAAATCTTCGGTCACTTCATGGGGGGCATCTTCAAGCAAGGTTATAACATCAACAACATAAGTAGCGAAACGCAAAACCTTGCTAAGAAGCTTGGATTTATAACCCTGTTTATACATAAAATTATACAGAGTGAACAATTATAAGAAATTATGGAGAAAAAATAAACTGAACATGCATAATAAAAGAAGTAAATATGCAACTAGATAGAACTAACCTTGCAACAAAAAATAACTAACCTTACAACTAAAGACAACTAACCTTGCAACTACATAAAACTGACCTTGCAACTGAGATAGAACTAACCTTGCATTTGCAGACAACTAACCTTGCAACTACATAGAACTAACCTAGCAACTAAAGACAACTAACCTTGCAACTAGTGAAAACTAACATTGCAACTATACATAGAACTAACCTTGCAACTAGAAATAACTAACCTTGCATCTAGATAGAACTAACCTTGTAACTACAGACAACTAACATAGCAATGACAGACAACTATATTAGCAACTACATACATAATAACCTAGCACCAACAAACAACTAACCTTGAAACAACATACAAAATAACATTGCAACTACATACAATTAACTTGGAACTACATCAAATAAACACCAACCTGAACAGAATCATCAGACACCTTCTGTTTTGATTTTAACAAGTCTAATGTCGAGTTTTCCATACGATCATCAACAAAACCTCGGCCAAAACCACCATTTTTTATCTCAGAATCGATTCTCTTGCGCAAAAGCTCACAGTTCCAACCAACAAAGGATGAGATACTCCTTGTAACTTCACGATTTATAAAAACCAGCCGATCAACGTATAAAACTTGCATTTTGAAAATATATATATATAATTGGAATATAAATAAATATAATAATAAATTGATTAAGAATAATATAGAAATAAATTCTTACATTGAGAAAAAGAAGAGGCCCATTAAAAGAAGTCATGTTGCTCTTTTCCCATTTCATTCTTTTTGTAATCAGACTTTGAAGAGTGTAATCAGCCCAATCCAGCTCAGAAACAGATGTTATGTTAGTAACGGACTTGAAGAAAAGAGGGTTGACATAACCAACAAAATTGATCGTTACAATGATCAAAGCATCCACCAAAGCAGCAAAATGACAACAGAACATTTCGTCACCATCAGAACACTGCAACAATTGCTTGTTGATATCGTCGGGAGTGATTTTGTCAGAAGATTTTTGAAACTTACTCCTCCAATTATTCAACAAATCACAAACGGACTTCGTCTTTAATTCAATAGACTTCTCCCCTCTAGGCAAGCCTAATACCCTCTCAACATCAACAACATCGATGTGGATGTTACCCTCCTTAAAACGCATACAGAGCTAAATTGGTCAAAGCTATCCAATACCCAGTAAGATAACTGTGATGGAAGCTCTTTAATTTTGAGACGCAACAAATGTCCAAAACCCATTTTAACTACTGCTCTTTTCTGGTCATCCTTCAATTGACCAATGGCCTCAACCAGAACTTTCGGAGAAGAACAAGTTGAGAGCTTTGGGCAAAGAACTGGAACGTCAGACTGCCGTTGACGAGCTTGACGTACAGGACGGTGAGATGAATCAGTCAGCAAAAGAATGCCATCATCACTCTGACGCTTATTGGAACTTTCTGTAGCCATTTCTTCAAATTAAACAGAGTTATAAAAAAAAAAAAAAAAAATGTCAACTAGATATAACAAACCTTGCATCAGCAGAGAAGTAACCTTGCGACTAACATTGCAACTTCAGGTAACTAACATTGCAACTACAGGGCACTAACATTGCAACTACAGATAGATAAAACTAGCAATTTAATACAAGTAAACCTGAAACTAAAAACAACTAACCTTACAAAAAATACAAACTAACATCGCAAATAGATACAACTAAACATGCAACTAGATAGAACTAACCTTGCAACAACTAATAACTAACATTGCAACTAGATACAAATAACCTTGCAACTACATACAACTAACCTAGCAACTACAGAAAACTAACCTAGCAGCAACAGAAAAATAACCTAGCAACACCAAAAAATAACCTCGCAACAAGATAGGACTAACTTTGCAACTGCGGATAACTATCCTTGCAAAAAAACATAAATAACCTTGCAAATCAGACAACAACCAATAGAAACCCTAAAAATATGGATGATATACACTTTATACATGGATTTACTTCAAAAAAACTAACAGAGATCATACAAAATAACTAAAACATACTTTAATCTACTAAATGAAAAAAAAAACCTAAAGAGATTACAAACAAAAATAAAAGCAAAAATACTCACCGATTAAGACGAGAATCTGCGACAAGAAACTGCGAACGAGAAAATTGAAATAGAAATTGAGATGAAAAGCAAAATCGAAATCGATCTTAAACGACATATTACTTTAATCTACTAAATGAAAGAAAGAAAAACCAAAAATCGAAAAAGAGATTACAAACAAAAACAAAAGCAAAAATACTCACCGATTAAGACGAAAATCTGCGACAAGAAACTGCGAACAAGAAAATGGAAACAAAATCGGGAGAGAGAAAAGCAAAATCGGAATCGGCTTAAACCAGCAAGAGCAAAAATAGAAGCGGGAGAGAGAAAAAAGAGGAAGAGAATTCTGAAGGAAGACGAAAGGCCAACTCGAAGAAACTGCCGGAGAAAATTAATCAATATACTAAATCAATCCTGAACGTTAGATTAGATGAACAGTGAACAGACGAGATCAGGTCTCACGTCCACACTTTAAATAAGTGGATGCATTGGAACCAATCTCTATTTATATATATCATTATATTTGCTAGTCTGGTAATACCACCGATATTACTGGTCCGACCGGTAATACCGCGTACCGGTGGCTAGACCGGTTTGACCACCGACAGGGCCTGCTCCTTGGGGAGGCAGGCTAGGGCCTCCCCATATATTTGGGGTCCATTTTTTTTAAATGTTATGTATTTGTGATGAGTTTGACCCATTATACAAATAAAGGGGCTAATTAATGAATGAGTTAATGACAAAATATATACTTTGTGTGGAAATTTGAGGCCTTAAATATTTCATTTGTTTTCTTATGATGTTCGGTTAGAACAATTGTGTGATAATAAATATCTTTGCAGTGATATAATTTTTATTTTATTCTCCTTGTTGCTCTAATGACTGCTTGAATGTAAATTATTAACGATCTTTGTAACTCATAGGTAATTTATCAATTCCAAAGTCTAGAAAAACAAGAATTTTATTTTCAAATATTTATTTATTTTTTTAATAGTCTTTTTTAATTAGATTTTTTCTTCTATGATTCTATCTGCAAATAACCTAATTGTCACGCACGTTCAAATCGAAAAATTCGAAAAAGACAAACTTGTCTAGGGCCTCCAAATTTCTGGAGACGACCCTGACCACGGTGCGGTATTTAAAACACTTTATCCCAAAGCCAAACTCTATCCGGCCAAACATCTATTTTAATTTCTGAGTGCCCAAATTAGGACTAAATTGACTAACTAGAAATCACATAAGCAGATAAACAAAATAAAAAAAGGATTTCGAATTCCAAAAGGACAATCATAACAAACAAGCAATGCAGTAATATGCCATGAATGCAAATGCAACTGAAACCGAGGATATAACATCACTGTTGCATATAGAGACAGAAACTGTATGCAGTAGTAATAAATAAAAGAGAACCTGAATGGGGTTTTTTCGGGGGTGAAGTGTGTTCCAAGACACAATCATTACATTGGTCCTGGGGGAGCAGAAAGGTTTCGGGGCGTGGAAATTAGCTATAATACATATAATAAAATTGAAAAAGAAAAAAGAAAAAAAGGGTAATTAAAAAAGAAAGCGCATGTTATGGAACAACGTGGAAAAACCTAACCACGCTTTCTATCATCACAAACACATAGTACAAATAATAAAATAAAAAACTAGTAAAACAAAGATAAATAAGATATTGAGAAAAAATATATATATTAATAATAATACCACACTAGACCCAGGGTATGCTTTTATTATTACTCCTATACTTGTCTTTTGGGGTCGACAATATGCGTGTTGTGTATTCACTGTGTTTTACCTCTCTTTCTCTCTCCTCAAAATTCTTACTTTGTGCGGCATATGCATACACCAGCACAGCACTCAGAGAGTGTAATTATAAGCCTTTAACCAATCGCAAAGCAACATACATATATGCCATATTATGATATGTTGCTTATATGCGTGTGTATAGTCTCAGAAAAGTTCTCTACTCTCATTGCCCTTCAAATGAATTGTATTGGGTGAGAGAGAGAGTGAGTGTGTTTGAGAGAGAGAGAGAAAAAAAAAGAGTGCCGTAAGCAGAAAGGAAAGAAGATCATCAGTACTTGCATACTAAGGTGGGGAGTGGTGAGAGAAAAAAAGAAAAGAAAAAACAACTAATAAACCAAAAAGAT